GCGCGTGTTGCAGTTTCTGATCCCTTGTATGAGATGATCAAGAAGGAAGAGTTTGAACGCCAATACAATTCCAAGTTTTTGGAGGCGATTTCTTGCTCTCGTGTTGTAGTTGAGCCTGTAAGTTCAGGGACGTATGAGCCATCATCGAAGCTGAACTTAAAGATACTACAAAACATTCTGAAGGGTGTATACAAGATCCAGAAGAATGAGGAGCTTGCCAGAGAACGTGAGGAAGAAGAAGAACAGGCAGCTCAAAACATCTCAAACTTGTTAGCAGATGATATGGAGCTTGATTTTGATGATGACGACGTACCAGTATGGCGCTCCATTGTCAACAAGTATAGAGAAGGTGATCAGGTGCTACAAAGAGAAGCAGTGAAGATTACTCATCTTTTCAAGGACAAAAAGGACAATGAGAAGGCAACAGAAGTTTTCAGTTCAGAGAGGACAGATTTTCATGAGACCTCAGAACCTCTTCCAAGGACCATGGGAGAAAATCTTGTAGAGGACTTGCTCTCCAAGAATGTCGCAGAACAAGCTTTTGAGGCAGGTGAAGAAGTTCCTCCTTACACAAGAGTCTCCACTATCGCTGGTGGAATCTACACTGGTAGTCTGATGTTGACGAAAGATGAAGATATGGAAGAGGAAGTTCCTGAAGAAGATCCTGCAGTTGAACCTGAGAAAGATGAAGAAATGTTTGATGAGAATGCAGGTACTTTTCCTTCAGAGGGACCAAAGATGGAGGTTGACCAGGAGGAAGCCAAGGAGGAGTCAACACCATACTTTCTGTCAAGAGAGATAGGTGAGGACTCAGCTGCATCGTACTTACCATCAGGTGAGAAGGATGCTAACCTTGAGGATACTTCAGGTCAGCGAAAATCTAAGAGAAGCCGCCTGAATAAGATTCCTGATCCTCATTTTCATGAAGAAGTTCAGGATGATGCAACTCTTGAGGAGAAGAAGAAGGCGGTGAAGAAGATAAGAGAGGTCAGAGAGGATGATGGAGAGAAGAAATTAGAGGCTGAAATCCAAGAGTCTTTTCCATCTGAAGTAGTTGTTGATAAAGATCCTGTGGATGCTGACAATACCTATGAGTTGCATACCTCACCTTTGAGGTTGCTTGGAGAGCTTACAGAAGTCCCAGGTATTGGCTTTTATCAACTATGCTTCAGGGAAACTCACGCAAGATTGCTGAACCATGTTTGTTTCAGAAAAGGTGAGACTTCCCATCCTCATTATCAGTCGAGGATCAACGAGGATGATTTTGTTCGATCCATTCGAAGTGTCTGTCCAGTACCTCCACCTGATTGTTATGAACACGACTCAGAGCATGATTTGAAGAGGTTTTTCATCAATGATGACCGCATCAGTTATTTGGATGGCAAGTATAAGGTCGATCCAAAGTCCTTTGAAAGGGCAGAGCATGCTCGAGAAGAATTGGAGGATACGAAGAAGGAACTTAAGAAGGAACTGGAATCATATGGTCCCAATGGACCCAGTTGGGACTTTGTCACCTTCTATGAAGAGCTGTGCAGAAGGTTCCTCAAGGGAAGAATAGAAGAACAATATGGAACCAACTTATCGGCCAGCTCAGAGTCCTTGACGTTTTTATCCTGGAACGATGGCAACATGGTTCGTGGTCAGAAGTACACCACACCAAGGTTTCTCCAAGGACTTGATAGTGCAATGAGGCCACGCAAACAGAGCGCCATGTCACTTCAATACGAGCAATTTGAGAACAACCTTTTCTTCAACATGCTCTTCTTTTTACGTGCACATGTCGTGATTCTCCAGGAAGCTCATCTCCTTGTTCCTGCCAAGGAATTCATTGAGCAAAAGAATTGGACAGTTTGTTTCAATGATTGGGAGAATCTTGCAGTGATGGCTAGATTGGCACCAGGTGGATATGTCAAGATCATTGCTGGACATGACCAAGACCTTGGTCATTGTGAACAGCGTGATGTAACTTGGGCTATCTACGAGATTTGTTTTGGAAAAACAAGGCCTCGTCAAGAATTCAAGGATGCAGACTTTGAATTTGATAACTATGGTCCTGAGGACCAGCGTGTTCCACTTACTAGAGCGAACATGCATACCATCAGAGTCTGTAATTATCATGTTGATACACACCGTGCTGTGGATGCCCACCTACTGACAGGAGAACAGACAGCATTGATGCTTTATGAGTGTTTTGTCTATGAGGTGGACATCATTTCTGGTGATGCAAATAGTTTAGCCTACAGGATGTCTGGGTACAAAAGGCAGCCAATGGCTAACTATTATTACAGCACCATGCAGCATTGGATCCGCAGGTTTTCAGAAGCCCGTGTAAAAGCAGATCCTGGTATCAAAGCACCTATTCCCAGAACATTTTACAGTTCAACTTCACTTGTTCTAAAGCAGTGTGAAGATTACTTTGATAAATTCTGGGAAGATTACTCCACAGTAGAGAAAGAAGAATACCAGGGATCACAGCTTGGAGATACATGTTTGTCTACCATTGTTGAATGGGGTCATTCGATGAGTGAAGAGGAATATGAAAATTCCACAGTGAGCACGAAGGAGTTCATCTGTAATTTTTCAGAGAACTTTGCTATGATTGACACGGAGGTTATGTGCTCAAGGCCCACTGACGAGGACAGTCATGGTCCAATGTTTATTTCACTCAGACCAGCTTCCTCATCATCTGGAGACAGAAGACAGTATCGCATGGGAGCAACTCTTCATGAGGCGAAACTGCGGAGGAAGGAGAAACAGAAAGAGAATAAAAGGAAAGGAAGGCCGCCAATTTCTGATCAAGCAGCTTCATCGACTGCAGCGGCATGAAAACTCAGAGCGGAAGCTAACTTTTAATGATGGCTAGGGAGTGAAGATACTTCTGATCACAGTTGATACTTTGCTTCCAGGCTTGACTTTAAGTTGCCAGGCTGAAGTTTTAATGAATTCTGGTTTGCAACGAGGAGAAACTTTTTGTCAAAGAAGATACTCCTGCATTCCAGGTTTATACGCTTTAGCGTGCAGATAAATACAGTTTACTAAACGGTTATTATCTGCAGGTAGGTATGGACAGTTTTTCAGAACTGATGATAACTACCACAGCCGCTCTTTTGAGGTGACCTCTAATGGACAACCATTCATGGTTGATGATTAAGTCACTTCATAAGTTTGCATTTGTAGTGCAAGTTTTGTACATACATTTGCCGGTGTCTCCTTCTTTGTGTTTTTGATGTCGATGAGAGTAAGAGTCCTTTTGATGCAGTGTGTGGAAGCGGCCGAGACCACTTTTAGAGAAGAACATTCCTCGGACCGAGAGTTGACGCTCCTTGCATTTTGCAAGGCATCTTAATTCATTGCAAGTTGTGCGGTCTTGAATTTTTAGTTCTTCGTTGCGCGAGTGTCGTTTACTGCTTTTACAGGTCTCTGTGTAAGAAAGCCGCTTTCCTTTGAATTTAAGTTTCTTTAAAGCTCTAGCTATTTAAGGGCTATTGAGCGCCGGTACGCGGTATCTTCGCCGGTGAACAATACAGTCTCCAGCCGAGGTACATTGTCTCTGACTTTGTATTTGAGGTGAGTCAGCTATTGCTCCCTCACTGTATTTAGTAAACCTAGAGATTACCTTTTCTAAAGTGTGAAACACACTGGAATTGGTAAGTACAGGGCACCGTGGTTTCCTTTTAAGCTTAATAGAGCTTGCTGGACTGTTTTAGCCTTGCGGTACAAAATAGTATGCGACATACGCAAATAGGCAGGAGTGTACATGAATTTTGTGCCTGCTGAAATGTAGAGCCTACTTGTACAGGTTCCACTCCAGTGGCCTATCTAGTGTGTCCATGCTTGACTGCCATAAGGCTCAAGAGATATAGGATAAGACTCTGCGTGAGCAAAAGACACCAGCGGTCTGCACCTCTACCGTGTAGGCCCTAGTCACTCTTTCACCCCCCCCCCCGACGCACAGAATCAACTCTTACAGGACCAAATTCAATGCACAATCCCAACTCCTGATTGTAATACATTTTTGCTAAAGCAAGGAGAACTCAGGTAGCTCAAGCTACCTTTCGTGATCATGGGCATCGTCTTACGAGAAATCACGGAGTCTCTCTTCCAAGTGGCCATGACGCTGGCCTCTTCCGTACCCCAGCCAATGTAGGCACACATCCTGGGATCAGTGCAAAAATAGGTGACAATAGCTGGTTTGGCTGAAGATCAAGGCTTTGGTATAGTTTGCCCCAAAGTGAATTGATGTTGAACACAGGCCTTTGAATGCCTTTGACATCTTTTGACATGTCATGTCATAGGGGTTTTGGTCTCAAAACGAGCGTTCATCCCTCATCTGCACATGCGATCTACATATTCCCAGACACTCCATGGGACTGCCATATATGCCGATCAGGCCAGGGGTGGTTGACAAGGGGTCGGGGCGGCATATATGGCAGTCCCATGGACGTCGTGTCTGGGAATATGTGGATCTCCCATACATCTAGCAGAAGTCCGAGAGAAACAGCAGAGCAGCCCGCAGCCCCGGAGCCGGAGATCGCTTTAGGCTGACAGCACCCTGCGTCTGCATCGCACTTCACGGACAGTTCATGGGGTCGACACCTTGGTCTTCACGGACTCGCTGCGGCCCTGTGGACGGATGAGCATGTTCCTCGACCAAAACCAGTGATTTTCCACTGCCATGGATGGTTCCAAGGAGTGTCAAGGACACAAACTCCGACCACTTCCAAGTGTTGTATCCATTTCTTCATCACTGATGCAGCCGCCGTTTCCCTTAAGACCCTCCGAAGAAAATCACGCACCATTTGGATGTGGCTCACATTGGCTCACCCAAGAAGAATCCAAACATGACCCACGGGTTCCTCTACTTAAAAATGGTCCCAAACACATAGGTGATTCAGGGTGTCCATTCAACACTCCAAAGCGGATGGCTTCCTTTTCTCGCTTGGGGATCATTCCGGCTTTGGAGCTGTCTGACTGCTAGGAGAGTTGCATTGGTGGCATGGTCTGAAGGGACCGCAGGGCCCCTCGGATGACTCCAGTTCGATAACATAGGCAAATGCAACCTGGACATGAACAATTTGTTCACCTGGACCTTCAAGGGGTGGTTAATGGACACCCCTTAACAGCTAAGGGGCTATTAATAGACACCCCTTGGAGGGTCCTGGCATGTCCAGTTTGCACTTGCCTAGCAGGTTATTGGACGGGCCAACCACGCCATCCCAACTCCACCGCGCTTTGGCGCTTCCGCCCGGGCGTCAGTTTGAACTCATTGGTGTCCAAATGTTTCGAGTCGTCGTGGTCGAAGCGCCGGAAGGCGTCCCGGATCTGGAGCCCGGGGCGGTGGGGCGGTGGGGTCAAGCAGTGGACCAGGTTGGCCCAGACACGACGTCCATGGGAACTGCCAGAGGACTGCCGAGAAATGGCCAGGGGTGGTTGACAAGGGGTCAATGGGGCGGCAGTCCGAACTGGCAGTCCCATGGACGTCGTGTCTGGGTGGTGGACCAACACTCCAGGGCTCCTCTCAGGTGGGCTCCAGGGCTCCAGGTGGGTCACGACTCACGACCAATCCCCATCCCTTTGGGAAGACATGATTCTTTTCGTGATCCGACGGTGTCCGATTGCTGGAAGTGTGGTCATGAAGGTCAACTGAAAACCACCGGTAGCATATTGCAAATACTGGATGTAGATTATATTGGATGATCCTCTATCTGAGCTGCCGTAGAACTGTTTCCAGAATGGAACTGTGAAGCTGCATCTGGGAAATGCCATGATCAAAGGTGGAGTATTGATGGACAAACGTTTTTGGGGGGTCAGCAGTATCCGGAAAGACTGGCCATCTGGAATCTTTAATCCGGTCTATTGTATATTGGCTTGGGCAGCACGCGAGCATCTATACACAAAGGTGAAATAGATTGAACATGATTGAACTAGTATTTCCAGTCAATGTCGTGATCGCCAAACATTGTAAAGGTAAGAGTTTAAACATGCGTGTCAAACAATTGCCAGCACGACACGAGTATACACGCGTTAGGGTTTCACCTTGCCATAGGCTAGGGGGTCTCACCACCTGAATTAGCTCGTTAGTTACTTATTTTGACTATTTGGACCACTGATGAATCAACTCGTGCTTTAACTGTTCTAATCGGAAACCATTAAATCAAGAGTGTACGTTTCCCATGGACCTCTACACTCCACCCTGTCCAAATGTTGCAAGGACTGTCTAGAGTTCATTCCTCCCAGGAAAACAACAACAACAACAACAACTGAAGAAGCGGTCGAGAAACAGGTAAAACAGATTAAAACTAGAGTTAATACTGTAGTTTGTCTCGGAAAACATGCAGTGGCGCGTGAAGGTGTTTTGCCTTGTTGGGAGCACAAATGAGCACAAAGCAAAAACAGTGTAGTAAAACAGGAGTTATTTTCCAAGAAAATACAGTTCAATACAGCTCATGTTCCACAGCAATTGCAACAATGTTTATTTGTTGCTCAGGTTTGGGGTGCCCACCCCCCACCTTAGAACAATTAACTCCAAAGAGTTACTTCTTTCAAGCTCGGGCTTTTACTGCCTACCTCCTGATCACCAACAGTCATCAGTCAGCCAACCAGGCAGGCAGGCAGTCAGTGAGTTGGTGTTTGCAATGCGTTGCTATGCAAAATATTCTCACGGAAGAAACGCTGCAACTGAGATCAGCATGAAGATGCATGAAGCCACTATATATAAAGCATCAAATGGCCATGGCTGAATTCGCTACAGTCCGGCTTCGTCCACTGCTTTCCTGGTCGCCTCTGGTCGCCTTCCGCCGAAACGACACCCGCCTGTGCCAGCTCGTACTCCAGGCTGTCAGTCACTCGCTCGAGGCAGCTCTCAGCTTCCTGCGTCTTCTTCGCCAACCTCGGCTTCAGAAGGTCTGGCACAGCGCCAAGGGTTGGAGCCTGGAGGGTGAATGAACCCCC